AGGTAAGTTGACTGTGTGTGGTGAGGTAAGGTAACTGTGTGTGGTGAGGTAAGTTAACTGTGTGTGGTGAGGTAAGGTAACTGTGTGTGGTGAGGGAAGGTAACTGTGTGTGGTGAGGGAAGGTAACTGTGTGTGGTGAGGTAAGTTGACTGTGTGTGGTGAGGTAAAGGTGGACTGTGTGGTGAGGTAAGGTAACTGTGTGTGGTGAGGTAAGGTAACTGTGTGTGGTGAGGTAAGGTAACTGTGTCTAGTGAGGGAAGGTAACTGTGTCTAGTGAGGGAAGGTAACTGTGTGTGGTGGGGTAAGGTAACTGTGTGTGGTGAGGTAAGGTAACTGTGTGTGGTGAGGTGTGTTAACTGTGTCTAGTGAGGTAAGGTAATCCGTGTGTGGTGCGAGGTATGTAACTGTGTCTAGGCAGGAGGTATGCAACTGTGTGTGGTGAGGTGGGCGTAACTGTGTGCAGAGGTGTTAACTGTGCTCCAGTGAGGTAAAGGTAACTGGGTGTGTGGTGAGGTAAGGTAACTGTGTGTGTGGTGAGGTAAGTGTGGTGAGGTATAACTGTGTCTAGGTGAGGTAAGGTAACTGTGTGTGGTGAGGTAAGGTAACTGTGTGTGGTGAGGTAAGGTAACTGTGTGTGGTGAGGTAAGGTAACTGTGTGTGGTGAGGTAAGGTAACTGTGTCTAGTGAGGTAAGGTAACTGTGTGTGGTGAGGTAAGGTAACTGAGAGAAGTTAACTGTTAGTGTTTGTTAATCTTATTCAATAATTAATCTTTTAAGGGATGGTAAATGTAATAATTATATCAACTAATTATTTAAGGATGATTATTATAATTAGTACAAATTATCCGAAAAGACGAAGATTTTTATTGTGATTATTTTTAGTCTGAATTATTTTTCTTTTATTCATCTTTATTTTATTTATTTTTAGTAGTTTATATTATTTTATTTTTATTGTAAATTATTTTCTTTATCCTTTTTATTATATTTTAAAATCATATTTCTAAGATATTTAAGTTTTTATTAATTTTTTAACAATTTCAATTAAGAATGAAACTTTTAATTACAAGAAAACTGGAGACAAAATAATTAAACTTTCACTTAATTGATCTAAGACTTCTGAACCGGAAATATCATACAGGGTGACACATAAGTCAGTTTTACCTCAACAAGAGCAACTTATTCACCACCCTGTACATGACCCCATCGTCACCCACACCCTAAGTGAAGGTCTCCATCAGTGGTCGGTAGGGTAGTTCAGCTCACCTGTCGCTTCCTCTAATTAGCGACAGGTAAGGTGATAAAGTCCCGGTCAGCCATATTGTTGGAACAGCGCCTCGGTGTGCTGTTGTGGTTGTGGTGTACTGAAGGTAAAACTTCTCCTTGTGAAAGTAATAGAATAATGAGTCTTAACACCTGACGTCCGTTCGCCAGCCCTTCTCACGACTGGAGTTGGTCCGGGTACGTGTGTGTGTGTGTGGGTGTCAGACCATGGTGCCGTGGTTATGGTGAATTAACGACGAGATGGTTTACAAAATACGGAAATATGGTGACCCTCCCTCCCCTCACCTCACCTGCCCTCCTCACCCCCCACAGGTGTACTTCCGGCCTCGTGTCCTTTTAAGGGGGCGTGGGAGAGTTACACCCACCTGTACATCTTTACTTTTACCTGTAATTAAGCACAACCCATTCTTTACCTGTACTGCTTAATGTATCTGTACTAGTGATTCTACCTGTACCTGTATCTGGGATTGAACATGTGATTATACCTGTACTTGTTACCTGTACCTGTATCTGTACCTGTCTGTACCTGGGTTTATCGTAACTTACAACCTATAACACTTAACCAATTAACACACAAGTATCCCCTTAAATACGTTTTCTTTTCGGTGGTAAACTATTGTGTTTTTGGTTCAGTAGAGCGAAGCACGACCGTGGTAATTCTTCTAACATGGATTAGAGCTGCGTGTGTGTGTGTGTGTGTGTGTGTGTGTGTGTGTGTGTGTGTGTGTGGAAAGGAAAAAGGAAGAATTGGAAAGATAGCGAGAGGATGGAGGTTTTACTAATGCGAGAGAGGAGAGGGGGGGTGAAGAAGAGGAAGAAAGGAAGGGGGGAAGAAAGAAGGGAGGGAGGAAGGGGGGAGAGAAGGAGAGAGAAATGAGGGAAGGAAGGAGAGAGGGGAACCTACCTAGACAGAGGGAGTCAAACACGTACAGGTCATGTCCCCATGTTGTTCAGTACGAGTTAGATGCCTTCTACCACAACCCAGACCAGTACACCACACAGCCTCCAGTACACCACACGACTCCTCAGGGGGTAAAGGCGTACAAGTCTTCCATTACCTAAAGTACGCCACTAATAGCTTCCGCCTGGCGTACACTTCGACTCGCTGCACCTGTTAACTAAGTCAAGGGGAGCGTAAATGAACGCCTGGATGAACGTGAGGTAGAATTACTAAGACGGTAGGGAACGTGTGAGCGACCTTGGGGCTCTTGAGATGCTCACGCCATCATACGAACGCCAGCACGAGCACTCAACATAGCCAACACGAGCATTCATCAGCGCCTCAGTGTTTGAAAAGCTTGAGAAACGTTTTAAAAGTTTTGATAAAAGTTGTGTATGAAAGGTTCGTCAGACGTATGTTTTTTACTGCCGTCTACAGTTGAGCAGTGGGTGGAGAGCGTGACCTGCAGGGGAGATGCTGTCGCCGCCTCTGTTTGGGAACCTTGTAAGACATCTGAGGAATTTCAATAAACGTCTTGAAAGCTTGGCGTGAGAAATGTGTATGCTACTACTACTACTACTACTACTACTACTACTACTACTACTACTACTAAGAGGAATACAATAGGTGACTGTCTGTATAAGTATCTTGTCGTAAACCCAATCACCGAAGCGTGTCGTGTTGTAAGTTCAAGACACAGATAGAGTTTAGTAAAAGAATTTATTGATGATGTCTAGTCCAGTTTACCGTGTCGTAAGCTCGTGTTATCAGCGGAATATAATGAGGCTTTTCGTGCGTGTGTGTGTGGAGGTAACAGTCGTATTTAGTAATATGATTAATTACCTTCAGCGCCGTCAGGAGAGAACACCCTACGTCAGGCAGGTGTTTGGCTCTTCCCGACCCTTATACTGCTGGCTCCTCTTGGACACTCTACTATAACCAATCATAGGTCCAGAAGCTCGGTAACCCACCCTGCTATTGGCTGGCTGTAGTAGTGACGTAATGACTACCTTTGCCCCCTCAGGTATGTCGGGTCACGGCAGCTCCCCGCTAACATCACTTTCCCTGACAACGGACCAATCACCTCCGACATGTAGCACCAGCTTGGGTTATGATTGGCTGATGGTCACCTACACTGAGATACGCCTGGGGACTTGGAGGCACCTGGGGTCATGTGAACGTCTCTGGTCACGTGATCCAGGGTCAGACTAGTGATGAAACAGGTGAGCATCAGCCAGCGCATCCTCGACCTCAAGGGGGGGGTGTGACTTTCACTCCTGACCACAATCCTTCGCTCACCTGCACCTGAGCATCGTTCACCACTGATGCTCGACGATACTACGCCAGGCGAACGATTGTTTTCAGACGAGGATGAAAGTGAATGAGACAGCGAGAGACCATTGATACAAAGTTCTTATTTTACAGGAGCCCCCCTGATAGTGGTGCCCCCTGATAGTGGTGCCCCCTGATAGTGGTGCCCCCTGATAGTGGTGCCCCCCTGATAGTGGTGCCCCCCTGATAGTGGTGCCCCCTGATGGTGCCCCTGATGGTGGTGCCCCTAATAGTGGTGCCCCTGATAGTGGTGCCCCTGATGGTAATTGCCCCTAGTGATGACCACTGGCAGTGGTGCCCCCTGGCAGTGGTGCCCCCTGGTATTAGTGCCTCCCTGGTAGTGGTGCCCCCTGATAGTGGTGCCCCCTGGTAGTGGTTTTTAAGTAGTGGTGCCCCCTGGCTAATGGTGCCCCTGGTGATGGTGCCCCTGGTAGTGGTGCCCCCCTGGTGAGTGGTGCCCCCCCTGGTAGTGAAGTGCCCCCCTGGTAGTGGTGCCCCCTAGTGATGGTGCCCCCTGGTAGTGGTGCCCTGGTAGTGGTACCCCCCTGGTAGTGTTACCCCCTGGTAATAGTGCCCCGGTAGTGGTGCCCCCTGGTGGTTCTACTGGTAGTGGTGCCCCTGGTAGTGCCCTCACCATTTCCTTCTCCCTATCTGATTCTTCCTCCCTCCTAGCCATGCCCTCCTCCTCTCACCCTGCCCCCCCCCTCTCTCCTCATGCCTGTCCCTTCCCTCTCGCCCACCTGCCCCCCCCTCCTCTCCTCATGCCCTGTCCCTTCCCTCTCCCTACACACCCCCTCTGACATAGCACCACTAAGACCACCATCATTTCCACCACCCAAAAATGGCCACAAATTAACACAGAGACTCTACCTTAACAAGGGAACCATTAATTAACACTCCCCGGTTAAGGCTTCGACTCTCTTAATAAGTCACAAGTTAATTTTCCTCCCATTTAACCAAATCAAACTTAACCTAACCTAACCTAACCTAACCTAAACTAACCTAACCTAACCTAACCTAACCTAACCTAACCTAACCTAACCTAACCTAACCTAACCGGCGATAAAAGAATGTATTTAGTTACGCCAGAGTCTCAGTGGAATTTGGACGCCATCTTGGATCACCAGCTGTTTGTGTATTGTATAGGTTAAGTGAGACAGTTATATACGTTCCCACATCACATCACTAGAAGTAACACCGCCACGATACAATAGAGTCTGGATAATTAAATTGGCTGGCTGGCTGACTGTCTGACTGTCTGACTTGCTGGCTGGCTGGCACGCTGGCTGACTATTAAGGTGGGTGGCTGGCTGAAGGGCTGGCACGCTGGCTGACTATTAAGGTGGGTGGCTGGCTGAAGGGCTGGCACGCTGGCTGACTATTAAGGTGGGTGGCTGGTTGAAGGGCTGGCACGCTGGCTGGGAGGGCCGTGTGGGGTCGACCCAGCACCACCTTCCTCACTCACACGTCTGCGCGCCGCCGTGCCGTCCACATCCCCCCCTCGTGCTGGTGAAACCCTCGTCACCTCCCTCAGTGCCCTCGTCTTCGTCCCCACGTCAGGAACTACACCCAGCAGGACGAGGAATACACACTACACCACATGTGTCTCTTAACTAGGACGTGACCCCCTGTGTGGTATTATTAGTGCAATAAATAAAAGTGCTTTTGGGTGGGTAAATACCGCTTTTGTTTTTTTACCAAAGTTTCCCCGAAAAAAGGACAACACAAAGGGATAAAAATTACAGTCATCTTTGATTTAAGAAGAAAAACAAGGCGGTAGGTTGAGAGCAGTGTGACAGTGACGGAAGTTCTGTCTCTCACAATATTTTAATCGTTGTTGGACTTGTGTAATTACTAAAGTAGTTACGCGTTTAAAGACGTTAGTTATTGAGGCGCAGTAGTAACATTATAACGTCACATGACAGTGGTAGTTGGCAGGAAAAGAAACGAGCAAACTAACGGACGAGGAAATAACTGGTGATAACAGAGATAAGTGACAACAAACGGTGAAGTGAAGACAGTGGAAGAGGAAGAACAATGATGATGACAGGCAGAGGAGCGGGTGTGGTACTGGTGGTGGGTGTGGTGTGGGTAGCAGCACTCATCCACACCATCCACGCCCAGGAGGGTCACATCCACTATGTCCGCGCTGACGAACTCAGAGGTGAGTACCACGATGTACTGTACTACAACGGCGGAGTGTGTCAGACCACAGCCGGGTATATTAGAACAGAGCAGCATACAGTAAAATACATTAAAATACAGTAATATACAGTAAAATACATTAAAATACAGTAATATACAGTAAAATACATTAAAATACAGTAATATACAGTAAAATACATCAAAATACAGTAATATACAGTAAAATACATCAAAATACAGTAATATACAGTAAAATACATCAAAATACATCAAAATACATCAAAATACAGTACAATGAGATAGAATACAACAGGATACATCAAATAAAGAAGAAGCCATCACACTACAGTACAATCTATCAAAATCCAAGAGAATAAATCAAAATTCAGTATAATACAGCAGGATACAGTAAGGTATGGGGGCCACAGGTGAGGAGAGGCCAGGAGGTACACCTTCACTAATTAATTAATCAAGAGTACACACTTTACCTCACCTGTGTACTACTGTTCATCCTTGTACTGTACATGTCGCCTGGTGTACACGCTCCTGGGCGACTGTGTGTGTGTGTGTGTGTGTGTGTAATCAGTATAACTTCCACAAATATACAGTTCAGAGTTAACCAATATAACACAATAGCCTGTCACATAATACAATAGTTTACAATACAATACTCCATTCCTATTAGACCCATTCCTATTAGACCCATTCCTAATAGGTCTCCATTCCCAATAGGCCGTGTTTCTAATATGGTTTACTGGACAAACTTCCCAGACGCATCCATTAACTTTGGGATTTATTCGGCCTGGCCCAATTAGGTTAGGTTTGATTAGGATACGTTAGGTTAGGTTAGGACAGGACAGTCAGACAACACACACACACACACACACACACACAGCAAAAACTAAAACTATCGTTCTTAATGTTACGTCAATAGGTGAACAAATTCTACTGCAACATGACATAGGCGCTATATGTGTGTGTGTGTGTGTGTGTGTGTGTGTGGTGACAACATTTCGCTGGGAGAGTTTCGGTAACATCAATGGTGAAACTAGTCCATAAGAGAGTGATGGTGACAGTGTGTTTGGTGAACTGTAGGTGTGGTGAGAGGGTGGGAGTGGGAGTGGAGAGGGTGGGGGAGATTGGGAGTGAGTGGGCGAGATAGAGGGAATGAGTGGCGTGTGTGTGGTACAGGTAGGTGGCGTGTGTGGGGTACAGGTAGGTGGCGTGTGTGGGGTACAGGTAGGTGGCGTGTGTCAGGTGAGAGAGTTACGTATAGGCTCGCCATTGCCACGGTCTTAGGAAACGGTGTTGACGTGTACCTGAGGGCGTGTGTGTGTACCTGAGGGCGTGTGTGTGTGTACCTGAGGGCGTGTGTGTGTACCTGAGGGTGCGTGTGTGTGTACCTAAGGGCGTACCCTCAGGCGCGCCTCTCTAAACACTTACACTTCAACGACCATTACTTAACACTACCACAAGGGGATCAGGTGTTACTTAAGAGGCTGTTCCTGTTAAGTTAATGTTATGGTCTTCAGTCATAATAGCTATATATGTGAAAGACATATTATAAAACTATACAAGTGACTAAGACATATATGAACATAACAAAGACTTTATTTAGACACAAGTGACTCTCTCTCTCTCTCTCTCTCTCTCTCTCTCTCTCTCTCTCTCTCTCTCAGACATCTTAACTTCCTGGACATTACGTAGCCATAAATAAACAGTTGCAAATACAGGATAGATACATACCCTCTCCCCTTCCCCTCCCATTTCCCTTCCCTTTCCCCTCTCCCTCCTTCCATTCCTCTATCCCCTCCCCATATACCTTACCTTCCTTACCCCTTCCCTATCCCCCCCCCTCACCTCACCCCTCCCCTCCTCTCCCATGCCCCTATTAGCCGTGGACTGGCCGCAGTTTATCAACCATCACCCAATTACTCACGTGTGTCGTTAACCTAGGATCGTTAGTAACCAAACTGAGGGTAGTTAGACAGACCACGCTAACCATCATTACTACTTCTCAATGCTCGTTAGTCTTAGTGTATACTCTGAGGTTAGGTTAGGTTAGGTTAGGTTAGGTTAGGTTAGGTTAGGTTAGGTACGTGTCAGTCTATCAAGAGCGGTGGAGGAGGAAGATGGAGAAGAGGAGGAAGGAAGGAGGAAAAGATGGAAGAGGAGGAACAGGAAGAAGAGAATAAGAGGGATGATACACACACACACACACACACACACACACACACAGTTCACCAGGTGTTGCAGGTGTACAGTCACAGCGTTACTTCACCGCCATCTTTCCCACAGTTCTCTACCACCAAGACAATGCTCTTAAGGGAACGACCACAAAAAACGGAGTGTGGGTTGGTCGCCTTTCTTCCGGCGTCTTGTTATGAGTTTTAATACTTCACAACTCTCCCTTTCATAGCTTTGTCTGTCTGTGTCTGTATGTGTCTGTGTCTGTGTGTGTCTGTCTGTGTGTGTCTGTGTGTGTGTGTGTCTGTGCGTCTGTGTGTCTGTGCGTCTGTGTGTGCTGTGTGTGTCTGTGTGTCTGTCTCTCCTTTTTGTCTTGTTTTTAGTAATTTCCTCTCTCTCTCTCTCTCTCTCTCTCTCTCTCTCTCTCTCTCTCTCTCTCTCTCTCTCTCTCTACAATGGCCTCGTGACTAAACAAGACTTAAGTAAACAACAAACAAACAAACACAAAAAAATTAAAGAAAATACAATTCCCTAGAACACCTGTGATCATAAAAAGTAATTATCCAGGTGCCTAATTAACCACATATAGCGAGACAGGTATTGCACTGACGGGTAATCAGACAGGTGTTAGTTAATTAAGAGGTAATTACTCACCTGCTAGGCCACCAACAGGTAATTAGACAGATACTGCAGTAATTAAATCATGCACAATTACTAATTAGACAGGTGTGCAAATATATCAAGATAATGTAATTAGTAGCCTACAGGTGTTCTCATAGTAGGGATGGGGATAGGTACAGTGGGGTGTGGGGAGTGGGGATATCCCAAAGTAGGGGTGGCATCCTCCCCCCTCTGAACTGGGCTTCCTTCTCTTCCCCTCCACGCTAGAGGTCCTCCTTATCCTGTATTTCTCCCGTTCCTTCACTTATGTTTCTTCGCCTTCCTTCCCTTCCTCTGTCTCTTATCTTCCTCCCTCCCCCCACCCTCATAAACCCACTCAATCTCTCCCCCTCACCTCCCTCACCCCGGCTCGTGCACACACCAACAATACTGCCACACCTTGCATCACCCCCTCGCCTCCTCCTCCCTCACCGTGGGAACACAGGGAGTGAGGTACTAATCCACTCCCTCTGGTGTCAACACAACCACCTCACACCCCTCCAAGACTCCTAGTAGACTCCTAATCCTAGTAGCCTCATAAGCCGCTTGGGTAGGTCAAAATTTTCTATTATGGAGGAAGAAAACTCGTAAACATTTTCTCTACCTTCCCCCCCCCGCCCCCCTCCCTCCCTCCCTCCCTCCCTCCTTCTGACGGCAGCTGATCTGTAAACGTCACTCCCACTCCTCATTACGGGCGATATTTTTATCTCTATCGGGAGATCAGAGACACTGGGAGATAATCAACCTGTCTCATAATTATTCTCAGTGAAAGGTAAACTCTATACCTGTGTCATGTATACCTGTACAGCGATGCTTTTTTGTTTTCTATCTTAAATCTTTCGTTAAGTGAGACGTGGTGTTTGTGTTCTGCTGGATGGAGGTTTTGTTCGATGATCTTTTGTTATTTTGTTGACATTTGGAGCTTTTGTTCAGGTATTTTATTTATTTGTTTCGTTTCTTAGGGGAAATCTGGATAAATTTGAGATGGATTTTTTTTTATTAGTAACTGTATTGGATTCTCTCTCTCTCTTTCTCTCTCTAACAACAGAATGTCGCCGACTCACTCACACACACATACTTTCACAATTAGTTAACCTTTGTAAATATTACCTGACAAGAACACCTGTAATTATGACATTTTAAGAACACCTGTTGATAAAAGCTCTCAGAGAGGTACACAGTCTTGACCTATTGTGAACACCTGTTGAAATTAACTTCTAAACACACCTGTACACATGACCCTTTCTGCTACAGCTGTCAAGGAAAGCCACCAATAAGAACATCTGGCTCGACTCTTTTTGTAAATAGCCTTTCAAGTCAATATATAGACATAACCCGTACTGCTGTCTAGTGAGGCAAGCTGAGACACCTGTAAGAACTGCTGTCTAGTTCACAGGTGTCTAAGTAACAGCCAAGAACACCTGTAATCATAAATCCATGACGTTACGCAGATGTCAACTCAACACCTGCAAGGATCACATGTGTTTGTACATGTAAATTATTCCAAATGACATGACAGAGAAGTAGTGACATGACAAGTAAGTAATGACATGACAAGGAAGTGTCGTACCATGAAAATAAGTTCACATGACATCTGCTTATGAATCAAAGGCAGTCAAGGAAGTGTCATGACATTCACACGTGACAGTGCAGCATGACAAGGAAATAACACAGCTGAGATGACTTGATGATTCTTCCTCTTGTGTGTGTGTGTGTGTGTGTGTGTGGGTGGGTGAGTGTGTGTGTGTGTGTGTGTGTATGTTGGTATGATATAACACTGCTATACCCTATATTATACTCCATTCAGGACCCCTCCACATAAACTGATCTCCCTCCCCCCTTCCTTCCCCCCTCCCTCTATACATATGCATCACAATCCCTCTTTCTTCCCTCCCTTCCCTCCTTCCCTTCCTTCCTTCCTTCCTTCCTTCCTTTCTTCCCTTCTTGACATTCACTTCTTTCCTCCTTCCCTTCCCTTTCCTTCTCCTCCCTGCCCCTTCCCCTGTCTCGATCCTCTTCCCTTCTCCATTTCTTCCCCCTTTCCCCTCCCCTCCTCGACCCTACAGAGTACACCATCATTACTATTTGTAGCGGTGCAGGCGAACTACCCACTAACAACCTCGTCCCCCGGAGCTTAATGGCCGCTGTAGGCTGTGTCCGTGATGTGGGCGT